TTTATTATTTAATTTTTAAGTTTAAATATTGAATCGTCTTATTTACTCTAGCTACCTAAAATTGTGCAACATGAACATTCTATCAAGAAAGTCACTCAAAAATTGACATCTGTCTGAAAATTTGTTATTGTATTAGTGAACAGACAGACATTAATCTGTCATTGAACTAGTCACATGTAAGCATACAAGATAGCACTGATAATAAAAAATACATAGAATTTCCTTTAGTAGTAATGTAAACTTTTTTCTAGAGAAAAGAATAAATTTGCAATTATCGAGGCAAATCTAGTGCCACCCAAAGCAATCAAACAAGACATTAATCATGGAGACAAGAAGGTGCTAAAAATTTCTAGAAAATGATATAGTGTGTTCTTACAAACTAAGAAAAAAAACGTTTTTCATTTAATTTGAGAAAGCTTCTCGCTGAATTCTTCTTTCCTTTAAGTAAAATCAAATGAAATTTCGATCGTAGAACGAAAATAATAACATTTGAATAAACGTTTATTTCAATCTTTCGCATTGGAAATTAACCACATAACATGGAAATAACAAAAATCTCACTTCTAGGTATTTCAGTCAAATCCAAATTCTTCTAATTTGAAAATATTCAAACGATATTAAAAAATTTTATGTTTGCAATTTTTTTCGATCTTGCCAAAGTTTATTAATTCCAACAATTAATATACTAACTGCAACCAAAGTTGCACCAAGTAGTATCAACCAATCTGATTTTGCAGTAGCAAATATATTCTGTAGTAGAATAGCAAAGAGAATATCTGATGATTGTACAATCGTAATAATTGATGGATGTTCGCGTTTGATAGCTTTTTGGGTTAAAGATGATGAAAGTACTTGAAATAGCGAAATAAATGAAGCAATGACGAATCGCCAAGTGAACATAACTCGATGATCATATGCATGCAAATAAAATCGATTCCACAAATGATTAAGAGTAACGAGAACAAGTGTAAATGAAGAAAATTGAATGAGTAATATACTTTGTTTGATTTTGAGTTCGAGTAACTTTTTATTTAGTACATAACCGAATGAAACTAAAAGGGAAGATCCTAACGCAAGAAAAATACCCAATAGACGATAATCGCCACGAATTTCAAGGCCGAGATCATTCGATGTTGTTTTATTATAGAATACTACTTTTAATGTGGTATTAAGAGATTGTCGACGAACTGGAAAAAGAAATGTAGGCTGAGCAACACATACTATACCAATCATAGATAAAATGATGGCTAAAATAGCCGATATAGAAATACGTTCACGAAAAATAATCATCGCTATGAGAGCAGTCCAAGCAACCTGAGTGTGTCGAATTGTGTTCAGATCTGGCAATGGAATAAATCGATAACTAACAAAAAATAGAGTAACTCCACTACTGGCACACAATGCTTGGGCTACCTGCAAGATAATTATGTTTGTAGATCCATTAATAAGCCGATAACGTTTATAAACTATGATTACACCAAATATTATCATTTGAAAACTGAACCGAGAAATGAGAACATCAACAGTATCAACACCTAACTGTTTGATCACGAAAGTTGAAGAAATAAAGAAAAAACTTGCAACAAGTGCGTAGAATATTCCAGAACAATGACGATGTATCTTTGACAGAGGTTCCATATGATTCTGTTTAACATTCGTTGATACAACAATTGAAGATATTTTATGATCAAGTTCTTTCGGTTCAAAATGAATTTCTTCATCAAAATTCTCTATGCTCGATTCGTCGTACTTGTCAGATGAGAGAATACATGAACTCATTTTTTTTTCATCAGTATCTTTTTCGTTCATGACTTTTTTTCCAGTTGTAGTCGAATCACATATTAGTAAACGGTCTTCGTTTTGAATTATGCCCATTGTCAATTTTTTCTATTATTCTTGTTCTAAAATGTTCTCTTCTGTCAATATGATATTCAAGTAGTTGTGAAGTTGCCATGAAAAATATACTCACGATCAATATGTTTTTCAACTAGTTATAAGATAGCAATACAAGTTACATTTAGAAACAGAATCATATGACAAAGACATGCTTTGTGACATACGTTTTAGTGTTTGAATGCAAATATTAATATTTTCAAATTGTAATGTCTTCAAAAACGTATTTACAGGGTGGCCCATAAGTCAGGTAACAAAGTATTTTTAAGATTTCTCCTCTATTATCTCTGTGATTAAAACACTTTTATTATCAAAAGATAGCGCTTGAAATTCTCTACAAAATCATTCATGGCAAAGCCCAAAAACTGTTTAAAATATATTTAAAAAAAGATGAAAAGTAAAGACATATACAAAGTTGTAAAAAGTAGCGGTTTGAGCATAATGAATGGCCGCGTTTTGCGTTCCATTTTTTAATCACTCCACTCTATTAAACAACAAAAGATGGAGAATGAAAAGCGCTACAATTTACATAAGACAGCTTATTTTATAGTTGCAATTTTTTTTTCAAAATGGACATCATTTTCAGCTATGAAATTTCGGCCATCAGAAAAC